AGAGTAGCTGTTCAGATTTTAGCTCTTAAGTTGTGCCTGCAAAACTAATACACATGTGGTCTAATAGCTAAAAAATGAGATGGAAAATTGAAATGTGAGTCATGTTCCTAATTCATCTACTGACTCATTGTGGGTCACTGGGCAACTGACATACATACTACTTCTGTGCTTCCATTTTCCTCATCTGGAATAAGGATAGACATTTCAGCTACTGCAATGCATTTTAAAATCTAAAGCTAGTTAATAACAATATATTATCATAAGAGGAAAAAATACCTACTTCTATGGATAAAATATGCCATAGAAAGTGTCATTTTGACAATTAAACCTCGATAGTTTGTCTATCTATTACTGAATGATCCTCTCTGACCATGCAGCAATCATTCCTAAAAAATCACCGAGCAGAATATCTAGCTACATATTCTTATACCTATTCTTGCCCCTGCTGTCATGCAGCATTTGAGCATGTTTGAGTGACCATGCTGGAACTGCAGAGCTACTCACCTTCATCCAGAAGGAATGTGGCTTTGTGTATCTTGTAGAGGAGGGTCCTAAAACTGAGCTTTTGGATGAGAGGAGCCTTGCTGGAACAGCAGCTTGTGAAATGGCACAGTTGGGGAGTGCTCCAGTTGCAGGAGGCCTAAGAGGCGATGGGGGAAGAGTTATGCAGTGAACATAATATTCTCTATTGGCATACAAAGTACTGTTTCCAAACCAAGAGGAAAAGTACAGGCAGTGTATTTACTTAGAGCACTGGCTCCAAAGCAAAGTTTTAACTGCTATTTAAAATGTGTTAAATTATTTAGCTCCTTGACTGGTTTGAACGCTGTCTGGTTAATTTGTAAGTGCATTGGGCTGTGTGATAGGGTGAGAGAGGCTTTAAACTTCTAGTACCCAAATATATTTAAAAGTAGTTTTACCTACAGGTAGGTCTGGAAAAAACAGAGAATAAGTATAAGTAAGTTCTGCACTGGTGCTATGAAATGCAGTTGACACAATAAATTAACCAAGGGGCTCTTTTGAAATTGATTTAAATCATAATATCTGAAATACATATCAAAAGTATGGTTTTAAAATAATGCTGTATTAACAAGGATTCCTTTCCTCGCCAGACACTGTGAGCTGGCACTCTGTGTTGCTAATAATCTCCTTTAGTTTTGAATCCATAACACAGCTACAGCCCATTGAACACACATTAAGGGGAATGTTTAAGTGTTAAATTATTCACATGACTGACACATGAGCAGCTTTGGGTAGGAGTCACTGGTGCTTGACATTGGTCCAACTCAGCTTCCAGAAGACTTTTTTTTTTTTTTTTTTTTTTTTACTGATTTTCCTTGAAGCAATGTTAGGGCAGTTTTGAATGCTTCTAAAAATCTCATCCTTTTACTCTAGCAGTTATTAAAAGAATTAGTTTGAAAACAGTTATGAATTATTATGTATTATTTGTACGATTATAACTTTTTAAACTATATAGTAGTTGGTGTTGTAAAGGTGAGATATTTTCTTCATAAACAAGCAGTAATGATTCTGAAGTTGATTGAGCTGACTTTTTTTTCAGAGCACATAATATACTGTGTGTCCTGCTGCTACAGTTGATAGTAACTGATTTCCTTGGTGACTAGTTTATCAGGGGCCACAAATCTGAAAACAGGAGATTTCTATTGAGATACTAATTCTATTTTAATTAGAATAAGATTGAAACACATTAGCTGAAGGATGTATAGGGATCCTTATAATCTGTTTGTTTACTTTATTGAAAAAGAAAGGCTATACATGGTATTTTGGCATTTTATAGCTTTGAGAATTACCAAGTTAATAAAATCACTTAAGAATTAATAATTAAAAAGTCCTCCTGGTTTAACTAATTTATTTTTCTTCCCAGTTTAATTTTTCCTTCTGGTCACTTTACATTTATCCTTCTTTCTACCTGCAAGGTATGTCAAGGTTTATCTACTTCCTGATAAATCTCCTCGGAGTAAGCGGAAGACAGCTGTCAAAAAGAGCACAGTGGATCCAGAATTTCATGAGACTTTGAAGGTACCGTTTGCAATTGTGTGCCACTAAACATGCTTTTCCTTGGTAATGTTTCTTTTTGTAATGTACAATCGTGTAGGTTCGATATTGCCCTGATGTGGCAATTCTAGGCATCAGTGACAGCAATCATTAAAGAATGGTGGCTGCCAGTCCAAATAAGAGAAAATGCTTTTGGAGTTATGTTAGTACATTGCAAACTATTAGAAGAATCTGTCTTTGTTCTGAGCTAAATTGTGGCAAAACAGGTGTCTTCTACAGACATATTCTTCTGCATGTTCAAGAACTGAGTGTATTGCAGAGTAGGGTTAGTATTTTATACAGGTATCCCTTTGTACCAATACCCCTTTTGTGAATGTCATTGCGAGTGTCTCTGTGCAGTTAGCTGAATGCATGCCAATGCATGCCACCCGCTTTAAAGTGTTGTCAGCTTCCTTTTTCCTGTGCAACTGATGCCATGCATGTTTGGACTGTCTAATTTCAAACATTAATAAACCTACAAGAAAACAGTAGGTATGATTTTAATTCCTTAGTACTGTGCAATATTTCCTCCATTCTTATGACAGCTCTGTAGGAGGAGGCATTATTCTCATTCACAGATGCATGGTGAAATGTGAAGCTGAAGCTGAGTACTGTTGCTAGAAGAGCTGAGATTAGTAGTTTGGTTGTTCCCAGCTGCAGTTCCGTGCTCAGACCGCTACATCGCCATCTTTTTGTGTGTATCAGTGAGCTGGAGCAACACATAAGATTATAAGTTCCTCAGTAACATTTGACTGTGTTTCCTTTGAAGGAGATATAATGAACTAAAGTTAATGGAGGGACAAACTTGTGTTAGAGCTCTTGGAACTACACAAAAGTTTGAGTGTAACCCTCATCTGTCAGTGTGCGTAAACATCAGGAAATTGTAGTGAATGAAACAGGCGAAATCCTTGAAAATTGTTAGAATTTTGTGAGGACTCACTCAGCCATAGATAGGGTAACAAAAAAAAAATGTATGTATGTTATGTATTTTATTCTCTCATACCTTCAAGTCCACATATAGGATTTGGGTTGAAAAATGAGCCTAAAGCTGAAATAATTGCTTCTAACTTTACCATCCTTTTTCAATGCCAGAGTCATGGAGAACTGGATGGAGGGAGTGTGAGAGCCATGCCTGAGCTGCCTATGTGAACCCCAAGAGCAGCTCAGTTAAAAATCATTTGAATAGGAGTTCATCCAGAGTAGCAGAAAGAGTCAAAAGCACATAGTGCTGGTGCAGGTAGGCTGTATTATGTCACTGAGATCCAACCTGGTGGGATCCAGCTGCAGATTAAGGCATCTACATTTAGGTAGCTGCATGTGTGACAAGCATGTAAGCACACTTGGGAGTCATGGCGCTCAAGGTGATTCAGCTCACTCCAGAGCCCACACCCAGCTTGTGATTCAGTTGCCTAAATGCAGATAGCGATGATGCCCTAGGCCATCGCATTGCCTCCAACTGGCAGTCCAGGAGGCTGCGCGTCACCCGTTGGTCGTGTATCACATTCACCAGTCTCATGCAGGTATCTTAGATAGCCAGCAGTACCTCATACAGCCCTAACTATGTTTAGGTAGTAGATCAGGGCTTTAATGACTGGTCAGCCGAGTCACTTCATAGCTGCTACTGACTGCGTTGAGTAGATCTCCACTTACCAGAATGAAGGTGTCTTAACCTTGAACTGACTTCTGCCCAGAGCAGTCAAATTGTACTGGAAGTGTAAAACAGAAATATTAAAAGATAACGGCAAAAATGGTTAACAATTATTTAAACTTTTGGATTAATAATCAATGTCTTTAGGGAGGCAGGCAAAGGTATTCCCATAATGTTGTTTCATATTTGGATGGGCGTTATTTAGCATTTGAGGAGTGAGGTAAGAAGCAAATTGCAAAGTACGTTAAGACAACACAGTTCTGTCTGGATCCAGACGCCTTCAGCCATGCTGTGGCTGAACTTCCTTTGCGCAGCTTATGTATATGGGCCTATATTAATTCTGTGTATTGCTGTTTATATTCCTAGTACAAAATTGAATACTCTCAGCTGGGAAGTCGGCAGCTTCAAATCTCTGTGTGGCACGCAGGAGCACTCAAATACAGGGTGTTTTTGGGGGAAGTGATCGTCCCACTGGCAGCATGGAATTTCGAAGATAGCTCAGCAGAGTCATACAGCTGGTACCAGCTCAAAGCCAAGGTGACTCTTTGTTTTTGTACTCAATTGTATCTGAAGAACAGCATGTAGTGAAAGCTAAATCACCCCTCTGAGGTCATTGAGGGATGACTGCTGCCAAACCAGCCCATGAGTAAGATGTGTTGCAAATATAAATGAGCTGTAAGAATGATGTGAAATAGAATGGTTGCACTAATGCAAAGTTCTGTGTCCCTTTCTTCAGCTTGAAAAGCTTGAAGATAATCTTGTGCAGTACAGCGGAGAACTCCTGGTGTCTGCAAGACTGTCAGTACCGGCCCAGGATAAAAATTCCCAGTTTGAAAAGTGGATGAGAGAAGGTATAAAACATTTCAGCATAAATGAAAGCTAGATAGAAAAGTACTGAGATCAACAGATGATCAGCAGTGTGTGGCTGTATGAGTAGGCAATATTCTTGCATGGCGTATTAACAGCTACTGCAAATTATGGTTTGAGGTGTATTTGTTGTGGAAACAGTTCTTACAATTTCCTTCTCTAACAGTATTATGTTTTAAATTCATTAACATTAAAAATTTTGCCAACTTCATCTTTTTGTTCTTTTTAATATTAACAAAAGCTAGTTATTAGGATGGCAGTAGTATGATGCACCCAGATGTTTGGCAAGCTTGTGCATATATGGTGTTGCCAGTAGACTTTACTCTGGAGGTGATACAGCAGTTTTGTTGCCCAAGGCCAATCTGGCTGTAGAGATGGTCGATTTAGGGAAAAGGTGGAAGGGAAACTGTTTGCTAGGGTACCAGACCTGCCCCCTTGGCTTTCTCCAGTGAACTCATTTTGAGGAGATTGTTTCACTTAGAGTATGTTCAGTTTAAAATGTAGAATCAGCTGGTTTCAGTTTTTAGTAATGGAAGACTTGTTAGGTATGGAAGTACTGCTGTAGTGCATCAGAGCAAGTGTCTGCTGATGGAGGAGAATAAACACCTGGGGGTAGGGAACAGGACACCCTCATGTTCCTTAGCTCATTAGACCGTAAGAATGACTGCTATCTATGTTTAAGACCATAGCAACAAGAGGAGACCAGTGGGAAGATCAGATTAGCTGTTAGATTTATTTTGCGGTGGTTTTTATTCCCATTTTTTTTCCGAAAAGAACCCCAAAGCCCCCATTTTCCGTTTTTCCTTCTGTGCATGCCTGTGTATTCAGGCTTTGCCCTATAAATAGAGCTGTAACGGAGGGTTGCTATCACACTATGGCATAGGCTGTTTTGCCTGCCTCTGGCTGTGCTTCAGGAAAACACTGTTGTGGGTCCTGCCCTGGGTGTAGTCTTTGCAAATGCAAATGAAAACTCTGTTTGGAACAGGCATTGTGAAGCAACCTACTACTGATTGCTTGCATTTTTGTGTTTGAATTATACACTTTACAAGCAGGTTCAAATCTTTGGAATGATCCTAAAATACAGTACTATGAATCCTCATCTCAGTAGTACTGTTCAGTCATTTTCCTCCTTACTTATACCAGCACCTCAAGCTACCAGCTGTACTAGTTGGTTATTATTTAATGGGATAAATCTTCCCGTTTCAGAAAAAAAAGACCAAGTTGCTCCCAGCTGCCAGCTTCAGGTTATGGTATTTGGGACCAAGAACTTGCCTGTGCCGAGAGCTGCTGGAACGTTGAATTCATTCGTTAAAGGGTATGTATGAGCCTTAACACTTCAAATAGAAAATGTCACGCACATCCTGCACAAAGGTAAATATTGACACATTTTGGTCAGGAGCTTGTCATGTGAAAGTGGCATTGTCCACACTCTTAGGCAGACTTCCTTGTAATGGTGACAGTTTACACTTGGTGTCTGCTTGATAGCTGCCCGCAGCAGGGTAGTGAAAGTCCAGTCTTTATTTTGAGTCCTGAATGGAATGTCTGAATTTACTGATGTTTGATGTTATTAAAAGTTAGCATTCATTATTTTAAATTAGAACTTTTAGGTATTAGGAGAAATAGGGAAGAAATTGTAAATCAAGAGGGAGGTGACACTATTGTAGTGTCGTTCCTGTTTTCACCTGTACTTTTGCAGAATGAAATATAGCTTTGTATATATTGGGAGACAAGCTTTTATCCTCTTCATTCTAGATATTTTAAAAGAGGAAGGAATGCTTTTTTTTTTTTTTTTCTTCCCTGCACTGTCCGAGTAGTTTGTACTTGGGGGTCATTTTTACCTTCTAACTGTCAGGCATCAGACTCTGCTGGATGTATGCTACTGGGTCACATATTTAATATCTCACAAAGATATTTTACCAGCTGTGGCACCTATCTTCAGTGAAAGTGGTGATCAGTTCATCTGCAGAACAGGCAGGCTTCAGGCATAATAAAATGGGGAACAAGGACTCCCTCAGCAGTCACTGACAATGGAGGAGGAGGAGAGCTTACTTGTGCCCACACTGAAGGCACATAGGAGGAGAAGCAAGTCCCAAAAGAGCCTGAATAGCATCATAGCCTACTTAGCTTAAGCTGGTTGGTTTGTGGGTTTTTTTTTCCCCCCCCCGCTATTTAGAGCACACCAAAGGGCCCTAGCTGTTCAGCACAAATGTTTTGTTTCCTGATTGAGAGATTTGAGAGATGTACAGTTTGGATCAGTGACCTTGCTATACTTGTTTTTTTTGGGAAGCTGTCTTATCCTTCCGGACCAAGCAGAGGTAAAGCAAAAGTCTCCTGTCCTGAAGAAAGAAGTCTGTCCTCAATGGAAACACTTGTTTGTCTTTGATGTCAGCCCAGCTCAGCTGCAGCAATCATGTCTACACTTGACTGTCTGGGACCAGGCATCTTTTGGCTCGAGTGATCGATTCTTAGGGGGAGCCACGCTTGGTGCAGGTAAGTTCTTTATCACTGAAAATTGAGGGTAAAGTGAGATCAAGGTTATTTTACATTTTAAATAATATTTACACTACATTTTACTTAGTGTCATGTGCTTTTATCTTTGTGTATACATATATATATATATATACACACACACACACGCATACATATATAGAAAGAGAGAGAGCATGTGTGTGCCCCTCCCCCTGCCTACAGACCCTGGCCTAAGCAGCTTGCAACCTCAAGCTTTGATCCAGCAAGCCCTAGTGCATGTGTTTTGGTTCAAGCCTGTGCAGAAATTAAGGTAGTCAAGGGGAATTTTCAGGCAAAGGGATTTGCTAATATGGTAGCTCTCAGTCTGAGAGCCTAGCCATGCAGAAGACAGACATAGAAAAGGTGGATTGAGTCAACTCTTATAAGCTCCATATATATTTTGTTTATAACCTTTCAGAGAGTTGTGCCTATTATTTTACATCCATAAATCACTCTGATCACGGGACATACAGAAAGAGAAGCTTGCTCAGGAGCCTTAAAGGGACTATTGCATGTCTGGGCTCTATTCTAATGTAGGAAAGTGCCCTCTTTCTCATGGCTGAGAAATTCCTTATTGTATCTACCCTCTGCTCACTGAATAGGCTGTGTTTAGCTTGTAGTTGAGCAGAAAAATGATATCACGGGAAGAAAAGGGGGAGAAACTGCAGGAGGCATTCTTCCAGGGTAGTAAATGCTTTAAATTCAGTGTTGGAGATGAAAGGCTCATGAAGATTGAGGGTCAGTCACCTTGCTATGGCATCTACATTAATTTTAGAGGAGTATTACCACTAATGATCACTGAATGCTGTGCAAATGTCCTCTCAAGCTTTCCATGGTTGTCCTAGCCAGGCTTTTTTTTTTTTTTTTTTTTTCCTGTTAGAAAAGGGCTGATGACTGTTCTACCCTAAGCTGTCATACATTCAGGTCTCTAGAGATGAAGTGAAAGAGTAAGTTTAGTGTCATTTTGTTAGTTTTAGAATGCACGTTTGCCCCTCTGCTTTTAACAGTACAACAAAGAGGTTTCTCTTTGCTGCAGACTGAGTTCTACAAAGACTGTTCCTAGTTTAATATGATATAAACAATGCTTCAAACATGTAACTGTGATTTATTACAATGAAGGAGCAACAGACCAGCTGAACTTGCTTACCTAATCAGTTGGGTCAGAAGCTGTGCAGAGCTGGACCTAGAAAAGTGTTGGGGTAAGGCCAAATGAAGAGTAACCTTGTGATCTTTCATTTTACTTTCTTGCAGAAGAATCATTTGGCTTTACAGACCCCAATTCTCAGCCAGTGCTTCAGTGGCAGGAAGTGCTCAGCAACCCGAACACATGGATGGACATTGCGCTTGTACTGCATTCAAATAAGGAAAACTTTAAATCATAAATGAGGTAACAGCACAATATTTTTTCCTTCCCAGTGTCTGATGTATTGAAAATACAGATTAAAGTGGCATGTATAGTGCCTAGTCTGGCTTTTGGGGAATAAAGTCGCCTGTTTAAAGGGGTATGATGCTCTGAAGGTTTTAATTCTCCAAACGTTAAGGTTGTGTTGTCTATATCTCTAGATTCTGAAGAACTAATACTTACTTTATACTGGAGTGACAAGTCCAGTCTGAAGTGCATCATGCTAGCAAGACATGGCAAATCTAAGGTTCCCTGCTGGACTGAGCCAATACCCAACATGTCTGACTGGTCCATATGGTGTACAGAGCAGGATGAGTTTAGTTGGACTTATCATTTATTCATATAAACAGGTGAAAATGCCAGCCTAAGGCCCAATATATCAATTCAGACAGATGAATTAGCATCAGAGTCAGCAGAAGCTTCATATTTACAGCTCTAACTAGTGCTATGGTTTTACCTCTTCTCTGGGACTGAGGTGAGGAGTGTCGCAATAATCATTATAGCATGTATTATCCTTTACTTTCTTTCCAGCTCAATATGGCTTTTCTTAAGGATAGAGAGTTAGACAGATTCATATATGCTAAACTCAGGAACTGAAATGGCAGCACATCTTATACAAAGAAACCCCATACAAGAAACATTCAACTCCAAGTCCTTTGTTACCTTGCAGATCTTTTATTTAGATGTTTGCTGCTGCAAATAAAAAAAAACACACAATAAGATTTAGCTCAAGTACAAAGCAGCATAGATGTTGTAAATGGAAGAGCTGACAACATACTGTATCTTACTTTCTAACAGATTTTCAAAGAAAGAGGAATATTATTGGGGAAGGAGTGATCACAGAAATGCTCTCTAATAGAGAGAATACAACTGTGATATAAACAAACAGTCCCTTCATGTTTGGAGTCTGAAACTTTAAATCAAACATTTAAAAAAATTAGAAAATTTGTTAGAAAAATAGGTGCAGTAAAATTGTATATATTGGATCATGTGTACATATCACAATTTTCATTAAGTACAAAAACGATCTTTACAATAATGCTTTATAGCAAATAATCAGTTGCACTGCTTTTGCAGTACATCAGACTATAGTGTTGTTTAGGCATTTCGTAAGACTTGCATCTGTAAAAATCTGAAAAGTAACAAAATATACAGAGCAAAACTTTTATTTCCCTTTTAAACTAGTATTGCAATCCATGTATTGCCTGTTTATAGAATGTATATAAATACTACACTACAGCTGGTCAGTAATGAAGCTGGAACGTAAACACTATAGTGTATTAGATTCCAAAAAAGTATTTGCCTAGTTGTTACACAAGGAGGGTACCAAAGAGTGTTTTCCTATGCCACATTTCTGAACCATCACTACAAAATCTCTCCAACTGAGAGGAGCAACCAAAAAGTCTCATTTCTAAGTGAACTAGTTCTCAGGTGTTGTCAGTTCTCTTTTGGGGGAGGAAGGGAAGAAAAAAAGAAAAAACAGTGTATGTATGTGCACACACACACACAGGTGCTTGCAGATCCTGAGTTCTACATTCTCTTCTCAACAGTTAGACTTCATGTTGTAACTAAAAAAATACAAAGACATATGGCACAAAAATCATCCACAATTGCTTATTTTTAGACCAAGTTGAATCCAGCACCTGCCACAGGACACACATCTTCCACTAGAAGCATGGCCTGTTAGACTTTGTCTTGCTTAAAGAACGATATGACTTAAGGCCTTTTGGCACTAAGCAAGGGTTACCAGGATCCATGGTAAGACTTTTTAACCATACCAAATTTAGTAGATGGTAGGGGATAAAGGGGCGATTCAAACACCTCTGGGTTTAGAGAACATTTGATAAATATGTCATACAGTGACCCCTCCTCGAGAAAAACAAAAAACAAAACAGAAAACCACAAAACACACCTCCCCAAAACAAGAACACAGTGTTAAGATCTGCCTTTCCCACAGTCCTGCCTTCTTGTTGTAAGAATCATTACATTGCCTCGAACTCATCAATTCTCTGCTTGGTGTTGCCTTGCCGAATCTGCCGCAGTGTCTTGTACTTGTCACGTCCCTGTCGCATGTTCTCTGAGTGGATAATATCATTGTGGGTCCTCTTGTTTTCATCTCTAGCCTGGGCCAGCTCATCTGTCAGCGTCTGCAATATTAAGAACAGAGGGTCTTAATTACAAATTATACATGAAAAGCTTTGCAACTCATGACAGCAGTGCTTTTGGTGAGATTTGACAGTCCTTAGGCTACTGGACAGATCAGTGACACGGATACAATGTATGCTGCCTGTAAGCACTGAGGTACCAAAAACTCAAATTCAGCATGCAGAAAGCCTGAACTGTGCGCATTACCGTTGATTGAGACTGCCCTACAAAAACTGAAAAGGAAGAGAAACTATCATGCTGTGCGTATTTAACAAGTGGTTAAATAATCCACTTTCCAGGAACAATTTGCTTCATTACTTCCCCTCCTCTCCAACTTTCTTACCCTCAATTGCCTTTGTACACGTTCATTTTTCTCTGCTTCAGTAATACGTTTCTCCTCATTGCGGTCATCCCTGATCCCCTCACTGGAGAACTCCGCACTGTAGGCAGAGTACTCAGAGCCTTCATCTTGCAAGTTATCATGGACATGGTAGTTCACAGGCTCATAGATGGGCGGCGGTGGTGGAGGTGGAGCAGTCATTACCAAGTGTAGCTCCTCCTTTGTCTTTACCAGATCATCCTGGGCTTCCTTAGCCTTTAGGGAAAAGTAAAACACATTTTAATTCATTTCTGGCCTAAACCAGCTAAATGAATACTTTGACACTTATATTCCCAGTTTTGCCTTTTGCAATCAAAAGCAAGGGACAAGGAATTCAGTCTCTGCAGCTGACAGTACTTTGTTACATTCTTACGCAGTACCTAAGTTTTTTGCTAGTGATGGCAGCATCATCCACTGTGTAACGTACAGGGGATCGAAGCAAACAATCTTCCTCCAATCAAACATAATCTATCAGTAGTTTTGTAGGAAGTTACAGCATCTTCATCCTGTTCTCTGAACAGCTGTATTTTGTAAAGAGGTTCAACAGAGCAAGAGCTTTTCTTGAGTTGGCATTTTGAATGCAATTACACATTAGGAAGTCGGACAACTCCTTGCTTCCCGATGATTCTACCCTCCTAGTCAGTCTACAGTGCTAGTTACAGGACACTGGGAGTACCAGGCACTCAGTCTTGAAGGATTACTTATGGTTTTACTGCATCAAATTATTCAGCTCTCCAGACCCAAGAACCAGTAAGTCACTGACAGCAGCATACACACAAGACCGTTACCTGCAGTGTGGCTGCCCTTGCAGCATTTTCTCTTCATTGATGCAATGTTTTCATTTTCCAGACACCATGGAGTAAATGCACCATTTATACATGTATCCCCTTCCCTTTCTGTAGCTCCAAGATAATGATCATATTTTCAAGTTTTTATACAGGCTTACATTTTGAATTTTGACTAAAGGTCAGGCTTGTTGGAAGAAAGATGTTCCGCAGACATACTGCAAATTCATCACATAACTCTGCCCTTCTCTACCAGAATAAGAATGTTTCTCTCCACATGTTCAGGAAAGTTATACCAGGCTAAACATCATCGTAGGCTCAAACGCAGAACTTCAGAGCAGCTTTGTAAACCAAAAATACTCACTCTGAGTTGCCACTCTTCAACCTCACTCTCTTTACGCTTCCTTGCCTCTTCAAGGAGTGCAATCTTAGCCGTATACTCTGCGAGCTCTGTAGCCTGTTGAATAGCAAAACAGGAATTATAAGGACTCTTAAAAAAAAAAGCCAGGCTAAACATCATCGTAGGCTCAAACGCAGAACTTCAGAGCAGCTTTGTAAACCAAAAATACTCACTCTGAGTTGCCACTCTTCAACCTCACTCTCTTTACGCTTCCTTGCCTCTTCAAGGAGTGCAATCTTAGCCGTATACTCTGCGAGCTCTGTAGCCTGTTGAATAGCAAAACAGGAATTATAAGGACTCTTAAAAAAAAAAAAAAGTAGTAATTTTTATTTGACTGAGACAAGAGCTGAGTGTTACACTCCACTATAATACAGACTAAACAGGAAATCAAGAATGAAAACCAGATTGCTTGTGACAGAAACAGAAACCCGCGCTACAATGATGCTATCACACTGTACTTTACTAAACTAGTTTCCTGGCTTTACCTTATTCAAAGGGCATAGTAACGACCCTTAGCCTCAAAATGACTGGGGCTTACCAGCTGTTCCTGGCTCTTTATCTGGTCAATAGCTTGTCTCTCCAGCTCTTCCTTGGCTTGGAGAGCAGCCAAACGATCAGCTTCCAAACGTTCTGCTTCCTCCTGGGCTCGTCTCCTCTCCTCCTCCAGCTGAATAGCTCTTTGGATCTGATCTGAGAGCTCTGGAAAGAGATGGGTCAATGCTGTTAGCCCACAGGCCTGATCAAAGTGAAGGAACTACAGAAGGACTCTTAAGTAACAGCAAGTCTGACTCTAGCCTGCAACATCCCCTCACCATGTACCTCAAAAAAGCATTGCATGATACATCAAGTAACCAAATTCACAAAAGTCAGCTGCATATTATAATTAAATCTTCTACAAGATAATTGCATTAAGTCTCTAACACTGACATGATTCTGCTGCCCTTAATTGACAGGGCCAGATGTTGCCGTCTGCAATGTGTTCAGTCTGTGCACTGAAACAGAACCTTCGGTTTCTGCTGGAAAAAACCATTCCCAAAGTACTTTTCTTATTAGGAGTTAAGTAAAAACCACTTAAGAGCTGCCCCAGGTAGCTGCTGCTCACTCCTGGAAGAGGCCATGCTACTCACCCCTCTTGGGGGACAAACTAACTCTATTCCGCTGTTTCCAACTCCACCCCTCACCCCCCTCCCCAGTTGGCAGATTTTACCTGAGGTTTATGTCTTGGATGATCTTGGGGGGTAGCTTTTTTGTTTGTTGGGGGGGGGGGGGGGGGTAAGCTACCCTGCCTGCATGACCACGCATCTGCCCATGCAGGTAAGCAGTATTAGGATGCCTTGCCAAAAGCTCCCAATGTCACAAGAGTTAGGCTAAGCATAGGCAGTGACCCATATAATCCTTTTGTACTGGCTGACACGGATGTTACGCTCTACAAGTACTTTACCTTTCTCTGCTTTCTGAGTCTTCACCTCATACTCTTGTAGCCTCAACAGGAGCTCCTCCTTCTCCCTTAGCATTTGCTCTTTCTCCTTCTCAATTGTCTCCCTTTTCTTCTTTTCATTTTCTAGCTGTTGCCTGTTAGAAACAGATTTCACACTTGAAGCTTACTCTCAGAGCTAAGCTATAGTGAGGCAAGGAAGTTGGCTGAACATCTCTCCAGGCAGTTCAGTGGGAAGCAGTTAATGACTGCCACAAAACAAGAGTCATAAAACAGAAATACATATAGCCTATTACTTAATTGCTTTGGGATTTTTGCTTAATTTCAGATACTATATACACACAAGCCAGGCTTTTTTTTTCCTAAGAATATTTGTATTTTTTTGCCTGCCCCAGAAATTAAGAACACCAAATAGCTACTAGGTGCAGATGTAGAAAACCGGGATGGTGAAGCACACAGCAGAGAAGAGCTATTTTGTTGCCTCTATCAAAGGGAAAAATCAAGGAACTATAAGAGCAAGAGCACTGAGGGAATGAAGAATAACAAGTCACAAACAAAGGAGAAAGCAGCATGATTTCTTGATCATAAATAATCCAGAGACAGTGGTAAAAGTCCCAAGGAACTGCTAACTGTTTTTCATCTCCTATCAGAGGTGTTTCAGTCCTCTCTTCTCAGTTCACATTGTACACGCATGCTCCCTGTGAAGTTTTCCCCTTACTCCAAACCTTCGCATGGTCCAACACATAAACCAGGTCCCAACAAATGAGTCAGGAGAACCCCTTTCTAGGCATACGTCACTACGTGAGAGAGCCCAGTGTCTTTACTTGTGCGTTTCCCTGCAGTCTTGAGAGCTGACCTGTCTGACCGGACAGTAGGCTACGCAGGTCTGAGCCAGAGGAGTAATCCTTACAGTCTGCTGCCTGATTCCCTCAGTCACATCCCTGTAAGCTAGAGTTGTAGGGCCATCATATGCCTTACTGTAAGTGGGATGGCTCACAGCCTTAACTAAATGAAATCCATGTTACCTACTGCTAAGCAGTAGCTAGCTGTTCTAGCAGGCCCAGCGATCTTTCATTCAGCTCTGCCTCCCCATCCCAGCTGTCCCTATTCACACTCACCTTTCCATTTGTTTCTGGTGCTTCTCCTCCTGGGCCTGGGCTTTCATCTGTTGCACCTCAATGGTGTCAGGCTTCCTGCGCCGCATATACAGCTCATGGTTGCCCATGCAGAGCTGCAGGATCCTCTTGTTTATTCTCAGACGAGGGGCATAAAACACAAAATCCTAGGAGAGAGACACCATACAGACAATCAGTCTTCCAGCTGCCTACATGCTTTCTCTTCTGCCAGCTGACTGCAGACAGGTCATGTCGCCACTAATTTCACTGCAGCTGAGACATACACAGGTTACTTAAGCTTAGTGGCAGGAACTGCCAATATTGTCTGAAGCCAAAGCAATCTGTTATTTATATTATCCATTTCAAGTCTATGCAGAATTGATAAGTTACTCTTCCAGGAAAAGTATCTTTTTAGAGAAAATTAACAACCTCATAAATATCTCAGTTTAAGGGAGAATCCTGGAGTTTTGCACTGTTACAAAATATTCTGAGTTGGCAGTTAACCATCTGGTCAACTCATACATCTCTAGTACTAAGGCAACGTGCAAATATGCAGTTAATAGCTTCCAGATTTGCCCAATTTTGTGTCTAAAAGATGGAGGAGGAAACAAAAAATGCTTTAGAGATTATTAAAATAACACTGTAGGATTTCTTGATCTATTAGAGTCAATATTCAAAGCATCATCTGTGCTCATTTCAGAGAGAGGAGAAATCTCCACCATACAGAAATACACTCCAGTATTATTCTTTCCTTTCCATTGCGTTACCTAACGAGGTTCATCTGGGCTGTTACAACAGCATCAAATGAGCTTTTTTTTTTAAACATCAGTATGGAATATTGGGTTACAGGCAGCATCAAAACTCGAAGCATCCTAAAGAGAAGAGCCTCTTATCATCTATGTCATAAACAATCTTTTTCCAAAACCATACCAGACTGGCTCTTCCAGAAGTAAATCTGCCCAGAAAGGGATACAGGGGGGCCACAGTTTACCTGCCTGATGACTTTTAAGAGTCCACAACTATTTATCCTTATTTATAGTGCAGCCTGAGGTTACATAATGAACAGACTTTGCATTTCTGTGCTGTTTTTTGTGTACTATATGGATAGTGACAAGGGCAGTGGGCAAGGGCTAAATACCACCAGAAAAAGAGTTTCCATTCCTTCAAATTACTCTCACTGTTAGCAAGAAGTGGAACTGAAATGGGGTATACAAGGGCTCTACACTTCAGTGTGGCAGCATCAGCCACGGGCCTGAGTTCAAAAACACAAACTGTAGCTACCTCTGGAAAGACTAGAAGTTACACTAGAAACAAAGAAAAGCACCCCAAGCACTATTAAGTTTAGCATGAATTGACTGAAAAAAACAGTTTCTCTCCAATACATTTTCCTTGACTTACTCATATACCGATTGCAAAAGGTGCAGCCAGCCAAGGTGTGTTGTGCTCCCTCTGCCCAATGATCTTGTTGGAGGCACTCTGAGCTGTGCAAGCCTGAAACTGCTAACTGTGGCTGTAAGCTATTCATCGGCCCCCTCCCCCCCATTTCTGACAAGTAATTTTAGAAACAAATCGTTTGTGTACATTGCAAAGAACAGGTCCCATCTCCAAGCAATGTTCACCTCAATGAAAGTAAACACAGAAGCCAGGGAAGGTGGCTGCGTTTGTCATTGAATGCTGTTACCAAGGAACAAAGCATTCATATGAGAACACAAAAGTATGCCCTTGTTTCTTCATCCCCAGCCTCCCACTGCTGTAGCACAACTGGGAGTGCTGAGGCTTCTTATTTACAGGATAACATGCTGACAATGTTGAAGTACGTGGGCAGTCAGGCCTAAAAATTAGTAAGTCTATTCTGAGCAAGAACTCTGCCCATTAAATTAGTGTCCATTTAAACACTGACATGTAGAAACCTCCAAATTAAAGGGGATCTTCGATCCCACATCTAGGGTGGATCGAGTATTTCATTTCAGTGTCTGCCTTTTTAAAGGCGAGATAAGCATATGAAAAGGTCCAGGCAACTTCCTCAATGCTCAGAATGAGTGTCCAGATAAATTTCTCTCTCCTATACATAGCTTTAAACACAGTAAAACCCAGTGGGAAAAGGACAAGTGAGACCACAAAGGAAGGAAACACAGCTGAGTTTTTCAATGTTAACATCTTTCTGAATCAGCCTCTTGAAAGTCTTCCATTTCATACTTGGTCAGGTTTACTCTTGGGGTGTGGAAGAAAAGCTGTGATCCATAAACAGGAGATTAATTTTCTGTACTGTGTGCAACATGCCCATGATCACAAAGAGGCTCTGCTATTGAGCAGTCCAGTCCTGGCGGAGACCAACTTCCTATTTGTGTGGAGTTTTCTTGGTTTTCACTAACAGCACTACTAAAAGAAAACCACCCACACAAAAAACAGGTTGCTCTCTGGAGGAAAGGCTATTTTGCCAACAGCTCTGCAGCACATCATTTAAATTACTGTGAAGATGTTTTTAACAAAAAAAGATTCATAAGCCATCACCCTTTACCAAAGCCAAGCTGCCTATTATTTCTGAGGGCTGTATTTATCCACCAAAGCCAAGTACTAAGGGGGGAAAAAAACCAAACCAAACAAACCAAACAAAAACGCCATGGCCTTTCTCAACTGTTCCAGCAGTTTCATAAGACTGACAGAATGACATCCAGCTATTCCAGTTATTGCAGTTAAAGTTCTCCATAGCTGGAAATAAGTTGCCAATTCTTCACTAAAACAACTCTGATAAAATGTGTTTTTAAGTATTGAAAAGCATCATTTACAGGTAACTACATTTAAGTTCTTTACAGAAGTTGTATCCCTGCCATTTATCCCAGTATTCATGAAGGTCAGTAAACATCAAGGTCCTTTCTAATTTCTTAATTTTCTCTGCAAAGTTTCAGCAGGGTGGAAGGAAACAGTGAGTATTAAGAAGGGACACTATAAGTATCTATATGGTTTTGCTGTAGCATTTGCACGTATTTTGTTTTTTTAAGAAAAAAAGAAGTCACCCACCAACTTCAGTGCACTGAAAGAAACTGGGAGAGAAGCAGTTGCAGAGTATAATTTGGCTAAACAGAAAGAAAACTCACAGTATCAGTGAAGAAACCCCAGATTTAAGTATAAAACTAAAGACAGTTGGTTGGGAGAGAGGAAAATTAAAAAAAAAGACTCTGCAGTAGTAATAGCCATGTCTGTCTGCACGTTATATACTGCCACAAACCCTTTATCTATACTGCCCAGAAAAACAGAGCTCTAAATACACTCTAAATACTGAGGCTCATTTTGCATCTAGAATATCTGCAGTTTACTTCTCTTCCAAGACAACTGTATTTTGAGATGAAGCACTATTAATTGTTCATACACAGCAACCAAGAATCCATTCTGGATCTACTTACAGGTGCCTTCTTGTCAATAGGTTTTATAACAAACTTCTTGTCATTGAAAGAGATGTTTCTGATTTCGCTCCAGGGGAAACCAATCTTTGGTGTCAACCTGGGAAGAAGAAAAATATTTAAGAGGTGCTGCAATTTTTCCATATTGCTTCTAAAACACAGACTTAGTGGAATTGTGGTACTTCACACAGCTCTCCCAACGAAAGCAAGACACTAACGGAAGCAAGAACCCATAGGAAGCAGGGAGCGATGCCCAGTCACCTCCCTTACAGAATCTCTTGTCACTGCAGTCAGCCTTATGGCTGTGCACTGGGGATGGCTTAGTCATGTGCCCTCTTTCAGGAGGGATGCAGCTGAAAAACCATCCCCAGCTCTTACCTGTTTCCCCTCAGTTTCCCTCATAGTCACTCCCAAGCTCTCAGAAAAAATAATCCAGGCAGCAAAACCCAATTTATAGTACCTAGGCTAAGCAATCATTTTGACCAAAATAATTAGGGAGCAACTGAGCAACAGATCTGTCAAGGGAAGGGAAGAGAAAAACCCTCCTCAGTCAGCTCCAGTGCAGCTTCACAGGACTTTTCTTAAAGCCTAGCTTTGGACGTGCTGGATCCCTGCAGCCCCAACTGCCCAAGCAAGTGGTAGACACCCAGCACTTTGGAAGCCAGAAAGCCTAATTATAGGTGCTGGAAATAAGCATTTTTTTTTAAATAAAATAAAAATAGAAAAATTCAAGGTTAAAAAAAATTGCAACATTATTTTCAGCAGTTTATATCTATTCTGACAAACCACATAATGGAATTGCCCCATAGGGTGCCTGGATTCAGCATACAGAAGCTACACACTCAGCTGTCCCAAACACCTGCATTAAGTTCATTTCTTTCAAATCAGGGCCTAAAATCCACAGTGTGCAGAGTTTAGGTATACCGGCTGCACTTCTGGGAGGTTTCTGGTATGTCGTGGCAGGCCAAAGTAACTCGGACACTCACTGTACCTTCTATCACCTGCACAGAAGTCTACCCCACTATTTCTTCACTGCTGGGTAAGAGCCAACCCCGATACCTCCACACTGCCCTCACTACTGAAGTGCTAAACAGACATAGGCACAGGTGGCAGAAGCAGACTTTTTGTCTTTTGTTTCCTCCCCTAGGTTATGGCAAGGGTAGTAAAACAAAGAGCCCTGCTCTTTTCTTCCATGTAAACTGCTCTTTCAGCCCATCCCACTAGTCATGAAGCAGAACTTTACGCATTGGTCGTACGATGAGCTGTGCCACACAATCCTCTTCTATGGGAGAGCAGCCCTACAACATAAAGTCGAGATTCAGACTCTGAGCTCTTCCTCGCTGCTCAAGAGTTCAGATCTGCTGGTTCGTTTAAAATTAAGCTTCACGTATCATTCAAGTTTTTCTTTTCTTTTTTAATTTCTCCAGACTCGGGCATATGGAAAGCATTAAGTTGTTCATCAGATCAAGTGTTTCCAAGCCATTCCAGTACTTCAGCCTTGAGATACCTGCCCAGTTCTGCAACAAGTTCAAGGGCTGGTATATTTAACTGTAATAAATTCTTTTGCTCGACCCGCCTCCAATATTCCATTTTACATTTAAGCTCACATTACCCCTCTCTTATCAAGGGAGAATATTTTCTCTAGAAAGAGCAGCTAACAATTAAGAATTATATCTTACTTATATAAGGACAACAGCAAGCATATGCCACCTTGCTAGAGCAATGCAGTATGATGAAAACGAAGACATCAGCCTTCTGAATGACAGCACGAGAAAAATCTAACCCCACCAATAGTTTCCCTGGTGCACACTGAAGTACTGATAACTACTCCCAGCAAACCGTTTGAAGACACAAGTATTTAATGTTTAGCACTTCAAGAAGCATATATCATGATGGTGAACCACTGGAGCTCTCTAAGAACCCTTTCTACAGAGCTCGTCAGTTAAGGAATAAAACTTACAATTTTAGAGGAAATTGCCTAATCTTCAAAGACAAAAAGCTATTGCCTAGCATGATTTTGCTGGGCCCAAACATTAAACAAATAAAAAACCAAATTCACAAGAAAGACATTGCTTAGCTTTAATCACACTTCAAGAATAAAACATATCCTCCTCAGAACTTAGTATTCCCTAACCTTTAACTCAGCTGCAAGATTATACAACAGCATGTGGAACACTAAGAACGTAATGAAAGAATAATGTAAGAATGCAAAGAAAATGATTTGATTAGACTAAGATTATGTAATTGTGCCAGTCTCCTTCATATTAGCCTGTTTAAGAGCTTTAACCCCAGACAATACAGTGAGAGACAATCAAAATAACCAAAAATTAACTAGATTCTCCTCTCTACTGCAATTAAAAAAAAAAAAAGCTTGAAAATACCTAGAAGTACTGATATTCACTGAAGTATAAAGGCTCACTCACCTATAGGATAGTCTCACTTTCCTCAAGTTCAACTTCAACAACAAAATATTTGCTTTCTCACCAGTCCCAAAGTTTTGCTCATACAAACCAGAGGAGGGGTATGTATTGCTGTTTTTCTAGTCCCTGCATCTACTCAAAAGACCTAATCGCGTAGTAGCAAGAGTTATGGTAGAAACATGCAGTTTATTCCAGTGCGATATTCATTTTGCAAATGCTCTTGATAGCTCTTTGCAGTTAAGGGCTATGTTCTGCCTCCTTTTGCAGCTCGAAAAACCTGTTTGCGTGACCTTGGTTACATAGCAAGACTAGTCATTCAAGACTGAGGTATTACATGAGCGAAACTACTTTTCTTTCAAGCGACACTCCTTGTTTTCTGGGTGACAGCACATATTAGCATTGCAGAAGAAAAAACTGCATTTCTCTTTGCCATCTCAAAAGAAGCTCCAGAGTTCTAGCTAATATTTGAGTTGTATTTAAGTCTTTTTGTATACAAAGATGTAGAACAGGTGAAATCCCCCCCTCTGTGTTACAGTGAGAGTCTGTTACAGATTCAGGAAAGGACTGAGAACCTTTAAAAAAAAAAAAAAAGTTCTGACAGCAGTCCTTCATTTAAAAATGTCTATTTTCCCTCCCCTTCACACTGTGGAATATTAAAAGTGACTTGAAAGCTTAGACGCAGCTGCTCACATCCTCCTTTTATGTTTATTTACAGATGTAGTCTGTCATTTCCCACCTCTTTCTCTACCATCCAATTACTAATGGCTCTGCCCTTACCAGAAAGGGCTGATTAAAACCACGTGTACCTCAGTAAGGACCTCATTTCATTCACGGTAACTGTATAGGTTAACTCCTCCCTGGATTCTGGGCGTTATCTGGCTTTGGTTCCACGTTCACCCCATAACCTGTCTTTTTCAAGGACTGGCACATAGTTTATGATAACTTCAGTACAGGAAAGGCCCTAGATGTCCAAACACTCTGCAGAGGTGTTAACCTAAGTTCTCATATTGTATTCACTGCTGGCATACCCGGCAACCTGCCTCTGGGAAAAGCTCGGTACGATCCTTATTTCAGGGTTCTTATTTATCCTTACTTTCAGGGTTCAGCTCTACAACTGTGCATGATTTATCAGACCGTGTTTTACAACAGACATCTCTTATTTTATGTGGTAGGCAGCATTAGCAGGTCAAAGATCAGGAAAGTCATGAAAGGATTAGTTTTATGCATAAATAAATTGAAAGCTCCTTTCCTACCATAGCTTCACCTCCTGTTCATCCAAAATTGGACAACAAGAAAGTTCTAAACTTTGTCCTGATCCTGTAAGTGAGAAACACCCCTTGGTTCCCACACTAGCCCTCACTCTGGGAGATCAGAGGTGAAAACAAAAGCCTTACTTGTCATCCTTTTCATAGACGTTGAGCCCCAGGGCATCAACCCCCAGCCAGAGGTCAGTTCCTTTCTTATTCTTGATTTCAAAGTAGTTGATTCCATACATCTCCAGGTCTTGGGCAATCTTCAGGTATTCCAGCATGGCATTCTCTCTGGGTGAGGCAGGAAGAAGAGTGGAGATTAGCTTCTCATTTGTCTGACTATTTCAGAAAGCGTGATGTCTTCAGAAGAAACAAGTTACTTCCCCTAAACCCACCCAAACACAGGAGATAAATTGAACATTCAGCATTTGGGAGTCACTTTAAGAGTTACTATGTTACACGAATACACGTGCCCTGAGCTTGAATACATGCACTTCCCCCCGCATCTACCAAGCCCTAATATTTCCTGAGAAAAAATTAACAACGTTCAGCTCTTCCAGTGTTTCTCCTTGCCCTAAGGTTCTGTCAACAGAAAAGATACAGTACCTAAACTTTCCCAAGTGCAAATGCTTCAATGAACTTAAGGCTAGACACACACCTTTAATTTTATCCACTCAAAGGCACCACTGATATGCTGCACCTAGGTGCAGGATTTTTAGGAAACCATCCAAGGGACTTTTCTCAGGACCAGTTCGCAAGTTCTATTGAGTTTTACCATTTGATTCAGTGCTGGACTAGAAAATACACAAAAAGAGCTCCCCTACACAGGTCACTCTTGGATTCTATTCTAAAAGCATATCGTAAAACCACAAACTTAAGGCTATTAACAAGGAGCAAAATGACCAGCCTACAGACTAATAACCCACTTGAGCATGCCACTGGGTTCAGCATGCCAAACTTGGATCCTCTCTTCCCACTGCTCTCTGGAGAGTTTGTGCTGGTCCATCACCCTAACACATGAAAAGAGAAAGTAGCAAGATTAGACTTCTTGTTCTGCCATATTCACTGATGCTGATCTTGGCTACAGCTCTACTGAAAAATTAGTCTCACTAAGAAGTCTTCCTGAAGCCAAAAGGAAGATCCTACTCAGCCCAAAGATGTACTTTGTGAAGCGGAGCAATCCAGAATGAACAAAAAATGCCTTCTTACCCTGTAAAGCCTCTTTCTGGTCACTGACCAGCAGCACGAAAGGAGTAAGAAGAACATTGCAAAAAAATCACACATGCCACAGACACCAGATGGTTAAGGTAGAGCATAAGTCAATGTCATTCCTGGAATCAGACACACTGCTCAGAGTGTCATCAGGAAGCATAAAAACAGACCAGTTTCCTGATAAGGTACACTTATCCCGTGTGAGGACGGTGTACAAGACATCCTTTCCAGATATGGTATTTCTAGGATTGCATATTATGATTAAGGACACACAGCGCAAACTTCTCCTGAAGTGACAAATTAATGACAGAAGCCTGGAGGCATTCATGCTGTCAGTTACCAGCAAGGTAGCACAGTTTAGGAAAGAAAAGCTGAGCTCCAAGTACACTTCCTCTCTCTAACCCACCCAAAGAACATAAAAGCCTACTGTAATACAGTATACGGAAATGAATGAAGGAAAGAAAAGAAACACGTACACATAGTTCAACTTAATTGCTTTCAAGGAAAGCCTATATTTAACTGCAATATAAATTCCTGACAAATAAAAAACAACAACAAAAAAAACACTGAATCAAAACTCCTTCACCTTTGGGGGATCAGACGCTCTGAACTAAGGTATCCAGGCTTGTGCACATCTTTGCTGTAGTCTCCAAATTTGGCCTGCACAGCATAGGAGCCAAGGAGAACTGCTGTTTCAGGGGGACAGTAGATCTCATCGCTGAGGATCCCTTCCTTCACCTGCAGAAAGAAGAGCTTCTGCGTGATGTCCTGGATCAGCTCGTCGGCCACATCCTCTGGGAAGAACTTGGCACGGAACCTGAACTGGAGGGGGTTCTCCTTTCTGATTTCCTGAGCAGAAACCTGAGGACAGAGACAACACAAAACTAAGCAGGGTTGCAAACAAGAGAGTAAATCACTTTTACACAGAAAAGAGACTTGGGGCGCTTTCCTTAAAGAGTATCAGTTTTCTAAAATACATTTCTGTAGCAATCTCTCTCCAGCCAACACAGGAGCCCTTTCACCACCATCTAGCCAAACAAAACTCCCTGCAGAGTTTGGGCTAAACACGCTCTAGTGCTGTATTACAATTACTTGTGACGCTAACTTCTAGAAGAAGGACACAACAACACTCCCTACCATCACTTTTCTTTAACTAGTAGAGACAAACAGGTGCCACTTTAGAGTGAAGCAACTACCTCTGCCCAGCTTATCTCCTGTTGGCCGTGCCAGCTGGCACTAGACAAGGAGGGTGCAGTAGCCTTTGTGTCTTTAGGGGGAAAAAAATTCCAAGGCTATAGCCCATAAACCACCTGCAGTTTCATATTAAGTGACTGACAGCTAATCACTGGCATTCCTTAATTCCAGCTGCTCACTGGTATGAAAACACAGGGGAGACTTATTGTGTTCTACAACCAAGCCAGTAAAATTCTGCTTGCACAGCCAGCCTTGGTCACCCAAGAACGTGGGATTTACCACGCCATATCAGACGAAAAACTCATCTGCTCTTATATGCGTTTGACAGAGAATGCCTTACACCGCACAGATATGATACTCTGGCTGCCTCTATCAAGAGAAGGAGTTCGTACTTTCATAAGAGCTGCAACTGCATGAACAAGGGTGCACTAGAAACATCTGAGTTGTGTTACAGCTACTCAGCCTGGAAGCAAACTACTCTTTCTGATCAGTGCAGCAACTGATCCTGCATAAGGAGAGGTTAAAACTGTTATAAGCCAAGATGTTCTTCCAGCCACAGCAAGTACAGCCACTTCTATACGACTAGGCACAATATCAAAGTGCTGCAGTTGCTGCTCCTCTGAGAAGTGCAACAGGGCTTTTTACAATGCAGAGAAAAAAAGTAAGCCTGCACTAGGCCAGACCTCACCTAAACAATTCCCATGGAGGTCACTAAGTTCTCTCTAAAAATAATCTATGACTTATGAGAGTTAAGGAACAATCAACAACAGGTACTAGGATTATAAAGTCACAGCCAATAACACAGTACGCGTCATGTAAGCTTTAACCTTTATCAGCAATTAGCCCAAAGTCTGTTACCTTTTTATCTAGCTTCAGCCAAGTCTGGAAGCCTTTGTTGTCCACATACTGAAGACCAAAGTACCATACTTCTCGCAAACCTATTGTTTTAACCACCTGCAACAGAAAGGTCAAAAAAGTTATTGTATTTAACACTTCACTTGTACTTGTGGTGCAGGTATCCTCTCAAGTCCCACATCACCTGCAGGTGCAGGTAACAGCTCAGACCTGCTAATCTTGCATCTCTGAGTTTGATATGGAAGACTAAGATAAACAGTTACTTATTTGATGACAGCAAAGGCACAGGCTAAGCTCCTAAAAGGAGATTCTGGGGATCTGAGAAACTAGAAGACACAAACAGAGCGAGTGATGAGCCATCAGTTGCTAGCCTGGTACGCTGGCAGCAGGTGGTGCTTTTGCTTGCTATGCCCACCTGCACTTCTTAAAACCCTAGTCGGTGAAGCAGGCAAGTTGCTCTCACCACAGCTGATGGTGAGACATAGCCTAAAGTTAGTACTAGCTACAGCTAGTTGGCAGTACTAATGGCTCAGGTGATCCTGTCTGCTAGTCACTAAAATTCATTCTGCTGGAGGAAGCAAATGAGGGATGCGTCACACAACTGCTGCAGTAAGTTCGCTGTATGGTTTTGGGAATTAAAGCAAGCTGCAAATAGTCTCAGTCAAGAGTGCTTTAAAATATATTTTCACAGCCCAACACTAGGACAAATTTCATTTTATGCATTGTAAAGACCAGTCAGACTAAAGATCCAGAAGCATCCTCATCGCCTGAATGGCACATTAACTACTTGGACATGTTCCTTTTTCTTCAGTGGAGGAGACAGGCTAAGTTGTTCCTGACCTCCTGCTCCTGCCTGCTTGTTCCTGTTGCTCAGTAGTTTGCTGCCAGATAATCTGCCTGTAAGGGTGCGCACTAGACAGAGCCACTGATCTGTGTAAGAGTTCTGGAAAGATCCACTACACACTCACCTGGATCATTTCCTTGACATTATTTGCAAAATCACTCCTTAGATAGTGCTGTCTGCACCATCCTAGGGAGCTGATCTGGGTAGGGGGCAAGAACCATTTAAAACTACTTTGCAACTAAAGAAAGTATGACAGACTTGAGGCTGCAGTTAGATGTGCTTTAACAAGCCTCAGATCTCACATAAGGACCTGTTTCACCCTGTTTACAGTACTGCTGATGACAGTAACAGCCAGAGAGCAGACTTACTGGATCAGCCTTGCCATGCTAACTGCACCTCCTGAGAGCAGCACAGGTGTTCTGTTCCAAAGTCCATAGCAATGATTTTGGGATACTTAATTAGCTTTTGCTTTAGCTTCCCCTTATATTTTCTTACTGATAAGCTAAGAGGCAGCAGTTTGCACCCAAGAATTTTCCTGTGAGGATGAACGGGAAGGCGAACGGGGAAAAACACACCATCCTGTTGAGCAATCTGAGAATTACTGCTCGTATGATACACTGATTAACAGGCAATCGATAAAGCGTAGTGATATGAACACACCAAGAGAGCTTCATAGAAGTTAGTAGGAAAAAAAATGTCACTAAGCAAACATTCCTTTAAGGATAAAAAGGTTAGTGCCTGCTGTTTGAGGAAGTGGGATAGCTCCCTAACTGAAAACTATGGGCTATATGCAGCAGGCTGATTTATATATCCTATTTCAGTAGGGCCACAAGTAACTGTTTTACATAGTCATGTTCACTGTAACTAAAGAAAGGAAAAACAAGCCCCATAGCTTTTTAAAAAGAGATAGAGTATGAAAATACTTCAGCCTTGACTTGAATAAAATTATTTTTCCATCCTTCCCCAGATTGGCTTGTTTCACCACAGAGCTACCAGGTTTTCTGACCCTTCTAAAAACACCTCTAATCTTCAGTACTGGATTTTACTTAACCTATCAGAAAAGTAGCGGTATGTTGAGTGTGGTACTTCGTGCTGCACAAAAATAGTGCTGCGATGTTGTTAGAATGAAGTGTTGCATAAATCAAACAATTGTTATCAGGTCATTTTCTCTGAGTGTTATAGGGGAGGGAAAAAAAAAGTACATTTTCTATAAAATAGAAAGCTTAGAAGTTGTAGTCCCTCATGTTCATCCCAAAACCTAAAGGCAAGGAAGGAGAAAGTATTAAGCTAAACTTCATAGTTTGGCCATTTAGGGTCAAATAACAAGAACAAAGACATGAACGTTTCCAGTTATCAGCTTATACTCTGGCAAATGGTTTGTAAGCTTCCTCCATGGCAAAACAAGGAAGAATTAAAAACCAAGGCATTTCTTATTCTTACAATGAGGAGGGGAGGAAGCACAAAATGGCAAATCTTAAGTCAACCCATTCCACCCAAATGGGCAAAGAACATCCCGGAAGCGCATAGGATTGGTTACAGCAACAAAGTAACTATGAGGTGGAGGAGGAGGTCTTGAGGTACAGTAGGGCTACTTTTACAGCCTATGTACTCCGCAATGAGGTAGAGTACGAGCCCTTTACATCAAGGATTTCAGAGACATCACAGAAGTCAACAGAAGCACTCCTGTGGAAAAAGCAAATAGTATTTGGTTTTGCAGTAGACTCAAAACTGATTTAACTATGCTGAGGGCAGAGCTTAAGTCATGTTCATTCAACAGAACTAGGCTAGTTCATGTTTAAACAAGGGCTTTCAATTCTTTGGTCATTTTATGTTTTCTTGGTCAGATTATCTGTCCCAAAGGAACACTGCAATTGCTTTAAGAAACTATTTTAACTGACAGCCTGCAGTGCTTCACCTACTCGTGCTGGTCAGACCCCCACTAAGGCACTGTCTCCCCATGTCACTCCCAGAAGCTGCCAGTGGCCCACTCCCTCTCATCCACTTGAATCTTTCCTTCGTCACCAGAAAGGTACCAGGTTCCCTGGGCCAGCCAACAGGACATACTCCAGCTAGTTTCTCAGCCCGTTACATAGGTTCTTGGAATACCTCAGAACATCACACTGTAGCCTCTGCAGAGGTCTGCCTTGAGCAGACCTGAACTGAATAGTCACAGGTTTCACTGTTTTCCCACTCCTTTTGAAGGGGGTTATGATCCACCTTATGTGCAGGGTGTACTTAAGCTAGCAAAGCCACTAAAGCACAAGGGCATTGCTCGAGTAATTCTGCTTGCTGACAGCCAGAGCAAGAAATCATCTTGTGGTTTTTAAGAAAAGCCTACATCAACACCCTTTCCCTCCCCCGTCCCACAAAGTGGTTCTGCAGTTCAAGTTGAGCCACTCCCCATACCTGTGAAAACCTGTTGTCTCCATGGACTTTATCTGAGCACAAACTCCACCCAAGATAAGGCTCTAGTAAGAGTTGCACAGCTGAACTGAAGAGAAGATATCAGAACAGTTGCAGCTAAATATAGTCTTCACCTTCCCAATTTTGGGCTGCACAGTTTACCTAAGTCTCTCTTGATGTGTAGTAGTGCACCCCAACAAAAAATAGGCTGCTGGTAGGACTTTCCAATCTCAGATTTTAAGCCCATCTCAAGCTATGGGACGTAGGGACCAAATCTTCACGAGGGAAGATTCATGAAGGATATGAATCTTCATATTCTATCCCTAGCGTACTTGCTTGCATCATTTCTTGCACTGGCTTTGGGAAGTCGCAACAATACAGGCAAAGAACTAGAAGGATCTTGGATCTGAAGCATCCTGCCTTCTCCTACGTTCTCAGGAGTCCGTGCTACTGAGCTAGAGGTCAAGGAAGTAGTTTCTCTTCTATCACAAAGACGACCCTGACACTTTAACAGACACAAACATTAGTGATATATGGACAAAATCCTTGTTGAATCTTAAGTCATAAGGAACATAGGACACATTTGCAGTGTGTGGTCTAAGGCATTCATCTTAAAAGCCTGGCTTTCAGTCATTCAGATTGTTGTACCCTCAAAGATGAGGCCTGTGTTCTGATTTTGGGTAGCATGGAAGAGAGGGGATCTGTCACCCAGGTGCAAGGGTAATCAGCAAGAAATGGAAAGTCAAATACTGAATGCTGGTTCAATAAAAATGCAGGTGTTTCATATGCATTTCACCAAACTTCCAATAAATCCCACCTCAGTAACAATCAAAAGGAATTCAGGCAAGAAATGTAATGCTAAATACACAATTTTAGTATTAGATTTTGTACTATGAAGTTCTGTAGGAATTATAGTTTTGTTTCTTCCTTTCACTCCTTCCAAAAAGTCACTAAATGTATTTTTTTAAAATAGTTCTCACTGAAAATCTGCACAGTTGTCATAAGGCCTAGCAAGTTCTAGCTAACGGACTGAAATGAGAAATGGTACCAATAATAGCTTGGGGGAAATTAATATTGTTTAGTCAGTTCTGCCTACTTGATTTAAAGCTCAACCAACCTTTGCTATCAGAGCTAGCAGAGGACAAGGGGAGAAGTGTAAAGGAATTCCTGCAGTGCTTCTTAAACAACTTAATACGTGTAATTGTAGTTTGCATAGATCACATCTTTGTTTTAAGAGTTTGAGCAGGAATATCTAAAAGTAAGCTTTTATTTATTTTTTTAAACAGTTTTACAAGAGCAAGCTACTTAAGAAAAGCATAATAAAGTCTTACAGAAAGTGTTCTTCATTCAGTTTAGCTGTCTTCACCTGATCTTTTGCAAGTGTATCTTCAAAGAGACCTGCACAACTTGTTAATGCAATAGCAGGAAAAGTAGCAGTAAGGAAGGAGATAGACTTGGCTGCTCATGTCCTCCTCCACTTCAAGTCTCTGCTTTGTCCTGCTGCACAGGGGCTTCTTACAAGGCATGCTGCTATAGTTTTTGCATGCAGATCACAAACTTCTGTTTTTCTTGCAGTTTAGCAAACACATATGGCAAGTAGCTACCTCCAACTCTTCTTCTGAATGAGTGCAATGATATTCACGTTCCTTCAGAGAACGCTGCGATATCCACCTTCAACTGTGAAGACCCGATTCTAAGGTGTTCTATTCACAAGGACAACATTTCAACTTTAGAATTTGAAAAAAGTTAAGCTGTATTTCAAAGAGGTGCATTTTTACACAACAGCTAACAACTGTCTAGGTATTTTAAATCCCTTATAACACTTCATCACTCCGTGTTGCTAGGCAGACAGGTACGACTGGAACATAACATACCTGTAAAGATTTTTTGCTTGTTTCTTTGACTGTGATGGAATTTAGAGACCACGGTTAGGACCAAGGCCCTTTGATTAGGGGGTTGCAGAGCGAGCAGGGCAGGGGGAAGGGGAGAGGAGAAGAGGAAGGGGTTGTCAGGCAGGGAAAAAGGTAAGCCTGTAATCTAGTCTTTAAATAGAAAAAAGACACTTTAGTGTGAAACATACTTCAAGTTTAAGCGATAAGAGCCCAAACCAACCCCATTACTGACCTGGTCAAAAAGCTGTTTGCCTGTAGTATTTGGCTGGATGGCAAACTCCAGCTCTGCATCCATAGTAACAACTCGAACATTGATCTAAGAAGAAAAACAAAAAGCATTGTTTAAGAGGTATTGAAAGCTACTTTTCAGTGTTAACACAGTACCTTTGTGTACAACACAGCCACCATGCCCTTGATGCACTGCCTTAACCTTTATAACGTACACACTTAAGTCCCAATTAGATTTTTGTTATCACACTGGCAAACTTAATTGGGGCACTGACTTTTCTGGCTTATCCAGATTGCTTTGCAGGTTTTCCTAATCAGCACAGAATTGGATTGAGTTTCTGGTTAATTGAGAAGACATTTTAGAGTTGATTGTTTCTAGGCATAGAATCTCCTGAAGTGAGGTTTCCCATGAGTGGGCAGCAAAGTTGCCTGCAGGTCATCCCTTGGATTATGAAGGGCCCTAAAGACTAAATTAAGTTTAAGATTTACAGTTTAGCCCCCATTTATATTGGAGCTGGAATTAATCTGAAATTTTAAAGGCAAAAGATTGCGGATCATTCTTACAAAGCAATCACCATTGATCCAATTCACATTCATTCTTGCACTCAAAAATCTACTCAGCACATAACTGCTGTTCTTTATGGGTATTAAGTGATACTGCAGGGTTAGAGTTCACTAATAGCCATTGCTTGTGAACAAACAGCATAAGCCACAAGTAGACTGAAAGAGAAAGGGTACTATTGTAGGCAGAAGGCAAGAGAAGTTAACTAGTGACCAGAAGTAGTTTGTTAGCTAATGAACTGATTTAGTTAATCAGGAGATAAAAGCAGCAACCATGCTTGCAAGGTAGAGTAGAAGGAGCAAATTAAACAATCCCTTTTTATTAGGG